CTTGAATAAGCTTTGTCACAATTAATTCTGACACTAACTACTAGAAGCTAGTTCAGACTTCACAAGTTTAAGGACTCAGCCCTCCTTACTGTCAAATCTGCCTAAGACTTCTAACATTAGATGTAAGTTTGGGGTTTCCAAAGACACTCTCAGTTCTGAACAGACTGATTTAAGTTCAGGACTTCCTACTACCCTCTTAGGACACTACCCTAAAGCTTATGGGTCCCCAGGATATCCTTACTTCATCCTTCAAATTTGTGTTCACACGACCTCCTCAAGTTCAGTAACTCACAGAACACAGGAAAGTGCTATACTTACAAATGTGGTGCTGTAGGATAAAACACTGGCCTGCAAGGTGGGGTTGAACTGCAAAATTAGCTATTTAAACTCACCAGTCACTCCTAGGAGCCCCTATATTAAATGGGTTAGAACCCATTTGATGGTACTTAATAACAATAAAAACCACAAGGATAAAAGCCATAACCAACCAAAGGAAGAGATGCATAAGGGAAATCAATATACATATAAACAATATTGTCAATCAAAGAAGCTTACTCTACCTTTGGGGTCCAGAGGTTATACTGGGATTTCATTAAGTTAACGTCTAGTTCCCCCGCTGCTCCTTCCCAGGATTTTGAGCACTTATCACGTGATAGTTCCTCTGGCCCAGCTGCAGTACATCTGGAGGCATCTCATTAGCATAACCCTTCAGGCTTGGTCTTGGGGTCCACCATGAATTACAAAAACCCAACACCATAGAAATTTAGGGATGATATCCCAAGTACCAAAAGCAAGACCAGATTCTTTGGGAAAGATTAATGATTTACTCCAATTTCTGCTAAGTCATTTATTAGTTCTAGGAATGTTTTTTACTATTTTTTTTTCTTATACTGGAAATTAAATATACAGATGTCCCTCACTTTTCGAAAGTTCACTTTGTCACTTCATGTTTATAAAATAACTACATTAGTATGTTTTTTACTAACCGAAACAACTCTGAAGGTGATTTTTGCTTTAATTTAAATAGTGAAAAGGAAAACTAGTGTTCTGCATTTGCTTTGCATCCAGGTGTGAAAGAGCCTATGCACAGTCTAGAGGAAGGGCTTTGCCAAGCTACCCCCCACCCCCCAACACACTCAGCATCTCCGCATTAGGTGTCCTTAGGTCTTGAACCCTGTCTGTACACATTGCATGGAAGTGGCTCTGTAGGATAAACACTGGACTGGTAATTGCAAAGCTCAAACCATCAGCGGCTTTCAGAAACCCTACACCGAGTCATTATGAATAGGAACAGACAAGAGGGCACACAACAACAACTGTTATTTAGGTTTTATGTGTTATTTGATATAATGTGGTAGGTTATTATTTTGTGTCTGAGAACACTCAAGAATTTTCACTCTGTAAGTTACTGGTAATTGCTTCTTTGCTTTTCGTCATTGTAGCTTATGAAATGTTTCATAGAAATGCTATAGCAGGGTGGCCTCTCGTTACATTTTGCTCTTTTTATTCTCTCGCTGTTCCTCATCAACCTCCAGAATTTAGCTATGAATCCCGTCCGGAAAAAATTGCTCTTACTAGAAACGTCCAGTTATTTGCAGCATGGATGCACCAGGGCGATTCTACCTAGTTCGTAAACACATCCAGTATGTGCGTGTGATGAAAGAGTAATCGTTTGCAGAAGCAGCACTGGGCTGCTAATCACAAGGTGGGCAGTTCAAACCCACCAGTTGCTCCAGCAACTTTATTGTGAGTTGGAATCGACTCCATGGTACTTAACAACAGCGACAATCTTAGCAAAAAATTCAAGTAGAGCTGAAAATGATCATGTTAGAAAGCATTTAAAAATCTCAGGTCAGCTGCTGCTTTTTTCACTGCGAGAAGCATCCCCTTCAAAACAATTCTTAATCAGATGACATTTGATGTTTCAGACCCTGTAGCCTGTTGTGGAACAAAGAGCCTGGGTCTTGCACTTTTACAGATGAAATGTTTTGGCTTTGGTAAATTGCATGAGAAATTGTCCCCTCTTCCTGGTTTCTTCTTCAGGAAGTCTTTTCTAAACTCACATTCATATTCATTTCCCTTTGTAGCTACCCTTTTCAGCATCACAGTTTCACTTTTCATGTGTGTGATTATTTATTAATGTCAATCTCTTATATCAGACTGTAATCTCTAAGAGGCCAGGGGCTAAAAGCTGTCACTCTACTCTGTAGCCCCAGGCTATTTCCATCACTGTATACCCAGAGTCTAGCATGGTGTTGGGCAACAAGTAGGCATAAGGCAAACAAATGAATGACAAACTCTGGTGGCTGGAGCGCCCAGGCTGGGACTGGGAGGAAGCCGCCCAGGCCTCCGGTCCCGCCCAGGCGCGGGGACTACGACCCTCCCTGAGGGGCCACACCACCAACTCAGCCTAGGTCAACGCAAACCGCGGCTGCGGGCCGGGCGGCGCCCCGCCCCACCCCATGATGTCGTTTAGAGGCGGGACTTCCGGCCGCCCAAGTTTAACAATCCAGGCGGGAGCCGGAAGCCCAGCGCTGGAGTGGGCCAGGCAGTGGCTTTGAGTTGTCCTGCCGCTGAGAGGTGAGGTCCCGGAGGGCCGGGGTCAGCGGGCCACCTCCGCCGCGTCCTTGCTTGGACCTCGCCCGTCCTGCGGCCACCTCAGGGAGTGGGTCAAAAGCTCCGGCCGCGGTGCGCTCCGGCTGGTCAGACGCTCCAGGCCGTTGCGGGGCAGGGGCGCGGCGGCGCTTTTGGCGCGGAAATTCCCTGGATCCTGTGCTGGGGGCGCGGGTGCGGGTCGTGCCCCCGTCTTTCGGGACCTCAGTCCCTGCCCAAGAGGTGGCCTGGGTCTGTTAGGGTGGGTTGGTGGCGACTCTTAAGCATGTGGTACTTTCGGAAAGTTTGCCTCTGTTTAACAAGTCTGTCTGCCTTTTTATAAACCTCTCAAATGTTACTTGCAAATGCATTTTTACAGGGTACCCTTAGCGTTTCTTCTTCAAGTAGAATGCATTTTTGGCCAATAAAAAATTGGGAAACTTTTGTTTGTTCAAGCTGTATGTCGGAGTGGAATAGTTTCATTTAGTCACGACCTTTAAATCCTAGGTGGCTGTGAATCCACTTTCGGAGTGCCATGGGCGAGACTGATGAAATACGTATTCCTTAAATGTGCTCAGTTCAGAGAGGGAAACTGACATTTAATGACTCGGCCGAAGTCACTGTCATCTACGTAACTCCCAGGGAGATCGCTTGAGCGGTTTTCCTGAGTTGAGTGATCTTCCCCACGCTGCCACCCCGCTCGCTGGAGAGCAAGGTATCAGATTATAGCAGAGCCGCCTTTCAGTTGTGTGTAAGCGGTTAGAGACCCTAGCATTTTATTTTTCTTGAAAGAACCCAGAAGGCTCAGGTTAAGTCACCACCAAATCCAGCCTCTCTGTGTGCATTTCAGCAAGTGACTATAACTAGGGTTAGTTGTTGTTAAGTGCCATCCAGTCGATTTCGACCCATAGGGACCCTGTATAGGGTTTCCGAGGAGCAGCTGGATGAGCTTGAACCATCAACCTTACAGTTCAAACGGCTGTGTAGTCTGGTGCATTAGCCCACAGCACCACACCAGGACTAGTAGCATCGCTTTTATCTGATGTATAAAGCCAAAGGAATCACATAGTGAATTTTTTTTTTAAAGAGTTTTAGCCGTTTTATAAGCACATTCTGTCTATATATGTTTGCACACACATTTATTTGCATGTGTACACACACATTGAGTTAAGTGCCCTTGAGTCTGGTTGACTCATAGCAACCCCGATAGCAGGGATGGGGAACCTTTTTTCTGCCAAAATTCTAACATCACCTGGGGCATATAAGATTTTCAACTTAAAAATTATCCTGCTATATTTAGTCAAGCATGTAATTAACTCAACTGATGGTACACAAATAGTGTGATGGCTGGAACTGGCCTTAACTGGGCCAGACCAGATAATTTTGCTGGCTTTATACTGCCCATGTGTGGATGTTCCCCACCCCTGCTCTATAGGATTTCCCAAGAACAGCTCTAAGCTGATCTTTTGATCAAACTGGCCTTGTGGTTCAGGACTCCATATGTATAAAGTGTCTAAGAGCATTTTCATTGTCCTTGTTCACCTGGACTGCAATAGTTTGGGAAATCACCTTGTTAGATTGCATTATTTAGCATAAATAAATGAGTAAGGACATTGTAGACCAAGTATTGGTGTAGAGATTGAGTGACATCTTCCTTGGCCATATTTGCTAATTGTGTTTTTGTTTCGGAAAACTGGAGTGACTGGATTCAGAACTAAAGTCACCTATCCAGGATTCCCATCAGTTCAAAGTCCTACTTTGTGGAAGGGCTTTTTAAGAACCTGGTAACTAACAAGGCAAACTCCCTGCCTCCAGGATCTTTGTTTCATTCTGTTTTGGGAGGTAGATTTTATTGACAAATAGGGATTTCAGATAGCCTGAGGTGTCAGGGAGTAGGATAATGGGGTAGAGGAAAATGGGCTGCTTTAGCCCTGGTGCCTGTTGAAGGCCTTTCTGAGGAGACCCGAAGGCTATGGGAAATTTGGGGAAAGAGCATTGTGGACCGAGATAACAGAAAATGGAAAAATGAGAAGGACCTTGGCTTATTTCATGAGACAGAGTGAAGGCCCATGCATCTGTAGTCTGAGAGTGGGCTGGGGAAAGAGTAATGGGAGAGATACACAGGGGCCAAGTCTTGGGAGGTTTGCTGAGGAGGTTGGGTTTCATTATGGTTACCTTGGGGAGCCCTTGGGAGGATCTCTAATTTTCACTTTAAAAAGATCTCACTGGTTATTCTGGGGTGAGTGCATTTCATGGACTAATAGAGCTGTGTGCTCATGTTTTATGTTAGATGCTTCATTTTGACAGGTTTGTTTTTTTTGTTGCTGTGTGTGGTTTTTTTTGTTGTTGTTGTTCTTGCCTATCCTGAATTGCTTTTTAAAATGTATTATTTTAAATATTTGTAGGTACAGTCATGCAGGAAAACTTCAGATTTGCCTCATCGGGAGATGATATTAAAATATGGGATGCTTCATCTATGACACTGGTGGATAAATTCAATCCACATACATCGCCACATGGAGTCAGCTCAATATGTTGGAGCAGCAACAGTATCCTTTGTTCCTATAATCTTTTTCTTCTTATATCTCCTTTTCCCCTCTTATAATCATTTAAATGATTAAATCATTAAAATGTTAATGGAACTTTTGACTGCAATCCAGAATGAGGAATATATTTTGCATTGCATCCAAAGGTAGATAAAATAAAATAGACACTTAAACAGTACACTGTATAAATGCACTCATGTTTTAGAATGAACCTACTACATTGAAAAACACTACTATTTTAAATAAACAAACTTAGCTACAAGAATCCAGAATCTGGACTCAATTCTCTTTTCAGCGATAAACAATTTAATTTTCAGCGATCCAAAGGGGATAAGGTTATGGTGGGAGAAATTCTAAAAAGTTTTGGAATGAGTTTTTGCATGTATGAGGGTTTCAAAAAGTTCATGGAAAATTCAACTTTTCCATGAACTTTTTAAAGCCTCCTCTTCTATAAGGATATTTGAGGATCTGGTCTGGAAATTATAGGCAGAAATTGAAAGTAGAAGCAATGGTTTTTGGGGTAAGTTAAAACAGTTCCATCTTACTCCTTTCTTTGATGAAAATACCGTAATTTTTCAACTAGACATAGAGAAATTATCTAGATTGAATTTGCTTAAACTCGTTAAGTTTCTGTTGTGCCGCCATAGGATAAGCACTCGGCCTCAAGGTTGGTTTGAACTACAAAGTTGGCAGTTTAAACTCACCAGCTGCTCCTTGCAAACCCTATACAAGTTTGCTGTGAGTCAGAACCTACTCAATGGCACTTAACAACAACAACATGGCAATTAACAATAACAACATTAAGCTTCTCATTAACACTCTCCTTGCTTGATAAACACCTAAATGTGGATAAACTAAATAAGGAACTGAAGTCGTAAACCAGCATTTCTTAGTCTTGGCACTGTTGCTTTTTTGGACTAGATAATATGCACTGGACGCTGGGCGTGGGGTCAGTGGTTCAAACCCACCAGATGCTGGTTGGAAACCTTATACAGGACCACTGTTAATCGGAGCCGACTTGACAGCAGTCTTTATTGTGAGTGACTTGTTCTCTGTAGGATATTTAGAAGCCTCCCTGGTCTGTACCCAAACTGATGCCAGTAGAACCCTTCTCCCACCCTACTCCAGTTGTGACAACCAGTATATTTCCAGGCATTGGCAACTATCATTTGGGAGCTTGGGAGGCAAAATCCACTGCTGTAAAGAAAGTATTCTTGCCAACTTTTATATGAAAATGTTTTATCTACTTGCTGTACTAGAAATTAATTTTATAGGATTCACAAGTATACTTTGTTACCAGAAATTTTGACAGATGTCTGATCTTATCAGTACTATCACCATTGTAATGGTCTACTTTTCTGAAGAAAGGGAAAATACCAAAGCTATGAAATATGACTGATTCATGAACAAAAATGTTAGAAATTTTCATGCCTAATGTAATGTGTTCTAACAAATAAATAGTAATGATGAATGTCCTTATTGCATTAAATTTACCTGTCTAGCATTCCTTGATTTTATATTAAATTAGAAAATAAATTACTTAAGTGCTGAAGTAATTAAATCCATGATAAGGTGACTACATTTTTGAGGGACTCACCAGGTGTGTATAAAGGGGAAATGCTTTAAAGAAAAGGATGAAAATACAGGTTGCAGTTCTCTTTATTTTTAGATTTTCATTATATTTAAGTTTAATTTTCCCTGCCACTTACTGATAAAAGTAATATTTACCAGGTTTTATCATTTTTTGGTTTATTATTGTTCTGAAGAGTTTTCCTCAGAGCTTTAATTAACTGATGTACCACTTTAGTGAAACTGACCTACCTGCAGTCATGCTCTATGACTTGTGAAAATGGAGTTTCCTAATTTCCCATCGTTTACATGTTTGAATAGAGGTGCACTGGAAACCATCATATAATCTTATACCTAGTGAGACTGTTTCCTTCTATGGAGGTTAATTACTGAACGACAAAGAAACCCCTGACTCAGCAACTTAGGGACCCTAAGCACACACCCCAAAGACCAGGGTCACAGTGAGGTACCAGGGAGGTTAATTCTCCATATTTTTGGACCCTCCAGGTAGGTTTCTCACTTTTTCATGACTTCTAAAACTAGAAGAGATAATTAAGAGCAGCTAGAGGCCTCTCTTTGTATTGGCCTTCCGTCTTTCCTTTTCTGTGTATGAAGGAGAAAAGTTGTAGTAAACAGGAAGAACGGCTCTGGTAGTGTAGTGGTTACGAATCAGGACTGTGAACCTCAAGGTCAGTAGTTCGAAACTACTAGCTGTCCCATGGGAGAAAAATGAGGCTTTCTGTTCCCATAAAGATTTATAGCTTCGGAAACCTATGCAGGGTTGTAATGAGTCACAACCGATTCCATGACACATAGCCACCACCAAACAGAGGGAGAAGCAAGGCAAGAGAAATGGTTTCTTTTATATCTATAGTTGTTAAGTGCTGTCAAGTTGGTTCTGATGCATAGGGACCCTGCATAGGGTTTCTGAGGAGTAGCTGGTAGGTTTGAACTATAAGGTTGCAGGTTCTAGTTCAACAGCCACTCTGTGGGAGACACGTAAGGCTTCCTTTCCCCACAAAGATTCAGCCTCAAACCCTACACAGGCTCACTCTGAGTCGGAACTGACTTGATGGACTCTTACAACAGCATATGAAAATTATTGTGTTTGAAACATGTATCATAATATAATTACAATTCATAGTCTGCTCCCAAGATCTCTGAATGCTAGGCAAACCACCTACAAGTGATATAGTTTGGATTTTCAGAGTTTCACTAGTTTTATCCTCTGCTCAGAGACTGCTTCCAAAAAAACATGCATTGAAATTACTGTTTTAATTTGAGATTGACTCAAAATCGCATTTATTCGTATTAAATTTGGTTATTTTAATTTTGTAAATACTTCTTTGTGCATTCTGATTGTGCCATTAATAATTTATGTAAAATAAATCTAATTTAAGATTAGTAGAAAGAATTTACAATTAAATTTTAATATTAAACTGAAACTGAAATGTTTCCATAACAGAAGCAGTTGCTGTGTAGCCACACTTGTGTTTTCTTTTCTATCTTTTCTGTAATTGTTTGGTGCTGTTGAATCTGTTCTGACTCAACGACCATGTATAGGGTTCCCAAGGTTTACTGTAATAGTCCTTCCTTCTTAATACATTTAATAGTGACACATTCTATCCCAGAAATTCCTGTTATGAGAAAATACCAGGATTTTTTTCCCCCCAGTGGAAAAACATGAGACTGATGAGGACGTTTTTGCTTCCTAGCTTAAATCGGTACCAAGCACGTAAATATCCTGAACAGGTTTTATAGATTAAAAGACTGGTATTTGCTGATGCTGCTTTTACCATGCTCTCCCATTCTTAAAGGATAAAATTAGACCTTCTGGGCTACCCTTTAAAAAATGGGGTAGTATTTCACATGAGTTAAATAGCTTTCAAGTGATAGCAAACTCAGAAAGGATAATTCCTCCCTGCAGTAGGAGTAAAGGGTATTACTTAGCAATTAGTAACTTGAGCTGTTTCTGAAAACTAATGTATAAGCTATATTCATTTGTGTCTTAGTGTACTTGCTTTTGTCATCTCAGCTCTTAAGATAGTCTGCTAGAGATGTTCATGAATAGTGTGATGCTCCATAACTCTTTATTTAGATAACTTTCTAGTGACAGCATCTTCCAGTGGTGACAAAATAGTTGTTTCAAGTTGCAAGTGTAAACCCGTTCCACTTTTAGAGCTTGCTGAAGGGGTAAGTTGAACTGATTTTTTGTAAAAATAAGTTTTAAATCTTTGTTCTGCTTAAGTGGTAATTGCATACATATTGTTGTGCTTATAACTAGTGTAAAGGTGGTTTGTTTTTTAAAGCATCATTCTTCAGCCAAACTCAGTGTGGTAACACTTAAAGGCACTTTTTTGTCGTCTTGGATTCTGGGGAGAAGGAGGTCATTCATGAACTTGCATTTCTTGGTTTCTGCTCCGTGGGAGAGTCCCTGGGATCTCTACCTTTTTTCAAACCATGTTCGACTCAGATCACTTACTTGGAGTGGTAGGGGAGGGCTCTGCAGTCTTCCCAGGTTGTCCTGGAGCCTTACTGAGTCTCCCCTTATTGGATTGACCTTGGGCTCTGGACCATCAGCCACAGACCTGGATATGATGTTAGCTCTCTGCCTCAGCTTTTGTCCACCTAGTAGTGAGCCTCCCCCAAGGTCTCCTTGAAGAGATAGCTTTGTCAAAATGAGCTTTGGTCTCAGAGCACTTAAATGAAGCTCTCTTTGCTTCACATTTCCTTATTCCTTCACTTTATAAAAGGATCCCTCTGACTCAGGAAGTGCTGCTTCCTGATTTCTAAGCACTTGTCACTACCAGGCCCCCCCCCCTTTTTTTTTTAAAAAAAACCCACAACAACAAAGGTAAACTAAGGTCCAAATGAATGGTTCAAGAAACTGGTAGCCTGCTTTGTTTGATTCCAGTTTCAAAGTTTTCATAGCAGATCCTGAATCACTCTGCATTGTCATGATTTTACACTGGAGTAGGTGAGGCAGCCTGAATAGAAAGAGCGCAGACAGTAGGATATAAGTTGATCTAATTTAAAGAGGACCTACAGTATCTACCCATCCTCTCCCCAAGGTAACTGATGACCAAGGAGGCTCAGGCAGGGAGATTGTCTACTGAGAGTGAAGTGGGATGAAGTGCTCTGTTTGTTGAAACTGAGTTAATCAAAGTTGAGGCAGAGAATGCCTTCAAAGAGCAGGAAAAACATCCTCGTTATGTGTCCCCAGATTCTGTCAAAGGTGGTCAACAATTAATTTATTGAATTAATTGTCAGCACTGAAACAGCTAAGGAGCTCTGGTAGCATGTTGTTGTTGTTGTTAAGTGCCGTGGAGTCGGTTCCGACCCATAGCGACCCTGTATAGGGTTTCCGAGGCTGTAAATCTTTACGGGAGCAGAAAGCCTCATCTTTCTCCCGCAGAGCAGCTGGTAGTTTCGAACCACTGACCTTAAGGTTCACAGCCCGATCCGTAACCACTAAGCTACCAGAGCTCCTTGGCATAGTGGTTACGAATTGGGCTGTGAGCTGGAAGGTCAGCAGTTTGAAACTACCAGCTGTTACGTGGGAGAAAGATGAGGCTTTCTGCTCCCGTAAAGATTTACAGCCTCGGAAACCCTATGAAGGGTCGCTATATGAGTCAGAACCGACTCCACGGCATATAACAACAACAACTGAAACAGCTTTGATTTTCATACAAACACGCACACACATGCGTGCATGCATGTACACATGGAAAGCTTGGTGGTAGAATTCTTATCTTCCATGGGAAGACCCAGCTTTAATTTGGGGCCATTGCACCACATGTACTAGTCCCTTGTTGTAGCTATGAGCTTGCAGATTAAGACAGTAGGAAGAAAGGTCTGGTAATCTACAGATTTCCCCTGCTGGCTGAAAATAGAATGGTTCTATGAAACTTTTCATAAGCCAAAATGGTATTAAGCGAAGAAACAATTGCCATTAATTTATACGGGAAAAGTTTTTGAGTGGTCCCACACCTACCAAATCATGCCAAATAACAACATATAAAACGTAAAATAACACTAATTTATGGTCCTGGTGTGGTGCTCTAAGGTAAGCACTGGACTGCTAACGGCAAGGTTGGTGGTTCAAACTTACCAACTGCTCCTTGGAAACTATATGTAGGCTCTCTGAGTCAGAACCAACTCCACAGTGCTTAGCAGCACCCACCGTAGTGCTCACAGACACAGCTCAAAGCTTGGCAGTTTGCTGCTGAGATGCTGAGTGTAGGTCCTGGGGAAGGAGCTTGGTGATACCACTCTGGCCGCTCATGGTGCTTGCTACCTCTCATGTTGTTGCTGTTAAGTGCTGTGGAGTGGGTTCTGACTCATAGGGACCCTGTACAGGGTTTCCGAGGCTGCATATCTTTACGGCAGTAGAGCACCTCATCTTTCTCCTATGGAACCGCTGGTAGTTTCGAACTGCTGACCTTGAGGTTGGCAGCCCAACTCGTAACCACTATGCTACCAGAGCTCCTTGTTGCCTCTCATGGCTCACTGCAAAACAAACTGATGAAAACGAGTGCATTTTTGCCTTTTTTCATAAAAGCGAAAATCTTTGGATTTCTTTTGGTTAGCAAAACAGGTACTAATGTAGGTCTTTTTTAAAGGTAAAGTGCCATAAAGTGAACTTTGGAAAAGTGAGGGACACCTGTGTTTCCAAAAAATCAGCCAGTGAAAGCCTCTGGATCACCAAGTTCTGATCCCTTTGTGCAGGCAGTTGCCAGAAGTCGAGAGCCAACAACTGACAACTCTATATGCTACTTTTTTAGCATCAATTTGGAATCTTGTATATACACATATACATACGTAAATATACATACATATAAATAACGTTCGTGAGTATGACAGTTTTAAGGCATAATTTTATGTGAACTTTCGACATTAGTTATGCTGTGATTTCTCGTCTTCCTTTGAGAGTTAATAAGTCACACATGAATGGAGGTAGAACTATTTATTATAAAAGTGAGGTTATTCTAGTTAAAATTTTGAATATTCTTTAATTTACTTACGAAAAGGAACTATGTTGCCGACTGTGGTTCTTTGAACGGTGTCAGTAATATTTTGTAGCACAGACTCTAACATAGGGATGGTGATGGCGTCTGTTCCTTAGGGTACAAGTCCTATAATTCATATGCCATTGGAAGCAGTAGCTGTTTCCTACTTGGGACAATAAGATTTGATCCCACTTATTTTAAAGCTGTGTCTGTTGTTATGTGCCGTGGAGTTGGTTCTGACTCAGCGTGACCCTGTACAGGGTTTCCAAGGCTGTAAATCTTTACAGGAGCAGAAAACCACATCTTTCTCCGGCAAAACAGCTGGTAGTTTCGAACTGCTGACCATGAGTTTCGCAGGCCGAATCGTAACCACTATGCTACCAGAGCGCCTTTTTAGAGAGAACTTTTAAAGTTCATATTTATTTTCTTTGATTTTAAAATAAATTTGTACTAACAGTATTATAATGGATATCGATAGGCTGCTAAATAATCTAGAAATTTGACCAGATATTCTTTTTAGTTTTTAAAAAATGCACCAATTTTCCTGTGTCTGAGAGCACAATTGGAGTCCTATAATAAGTACACAATTTCCATTAATTGGTGGTTTTGGTGGTTACATACTGTGGAGTCAGTTCCGACTCCTAGTGACCCTGTACAGGGTTTCCGAGGGTATAAATCTTTATGGGAGCAGAAAGCCTCCTCTTTATCCTGCAGAACAGCTGGTAGTTTCAAACTGCTGACCTTGCGGTTCGCATCCTGATTTGTAATCACTACATTACCAGAGCTCCATAAATTAAGTTCATTAATCATGATTAAGTGACATTAATCATACATTGACGTAAAAAAACATCTTCTACCATTAGGGTAGAGAATTCTGGTGTGGCGCTATGGGTTAATGCGCTGGATTGCAAAGTTGGTTTGAACTGCAAGGTCGATAGTTCAACCTCACCTGCTGCTCCTTGGAAACCCTATGCAGGGTCACTATGAGTCAGAACTGACTTAACGGCACGTAACAATAACACCCATCAGGGTAAGCCAGTAATAAGCATAGGTTTTGTTTTAAACTCATAAGAATAATTTCTGACTTGCTTTTGACTCTTGTTAAGTTCTGTAGAGTCTGTTCTAATTCATATTGGCATTGTATGGAGTTTCTGGGGCTTTAAATCTTCACAGGGGCAGACAGTGCCATATTTCCCAATATATCAATCTGTGATGGACACCATCTTTGGTTAAGGTTATTTTGACAGTTCTTAGCAAACTTTCCTGATTTGCAGTGATATAGTTAGGTTCTAAATTGTATTAGTTTCTTTAGACCAGACTATTCCTGGAATGGGACCTGCAAGAGAATTTAAGCTACAATACTGATACATTGATATTGTATGCTCCTTGCTACTTTATATACTCAAGTGGTAGTTGATACTCTTGAGTCAAAATTTCATAAGTGCAAGCAACCTTGAGAAGCCTCCTGGGGAAGGGAAAGGGGATTATCTGTACCCTTGTAAGAGTGGTGAGCAGAGAACATTTTTGAGATGCATGGACTCTCAAGGTGTATCATTCTCTTCCCAGATGAATCCACTGAGATCCAGGAGGATGAGATGATATGTCTAATCCTAGGAAGCCTGCCTTTTAACTTTCAATAAAATGTCTCAGTTTTTCTTACGGTATTCAACTGGAGATAAGAACAATTTACATAATTACATAGTACATCTATAGGTTGAATAGGAAATAATATGCAACATCGTGTTCTACTATGTAGCATAATTACTGTTAGATAGTGTCATCTGGCACCATCCGACAGTTGAAACTCATCAGGAGAAGAAATAGGTAGTCTCTGGATTTTTAGCCATTTATTCTATAAATGTATATTGACCATGGGTGTGGTCTTTGCTGCATTGCAGTTGGCATTCTTCTGGGAAACAGACACTAAACAGAATACCCGGATAGTATTAATAAGTTGTATGCTGAGAACTGAAATAAGATATTGCCATAATAAATTCTATGAGGTGGTCAGTGGAGCCACTGAAGAGGTGGCATTTAAATTGTTACCTGTTGACCAGAAGTTGTCAAAAACTTCATTTTGCTTGGATTCACTGTCAACACTCATGGAAGCAACAGTCAAGAAATCAAAATACATATGGCAAACCTTCTACAAAAGGCCTCTTTAGAAGTTACAGAGCAAAGATATCAGTTTGAGGACTAAGGGTGCACCTGACTCAAGCCATGGTATTTTCAATAACTTCATGTGCATGTGAAAGTTGGACAGTGAATAAGGAAGACCGTAGAATAATTGATGCATTTGAATTAATGGTGTTGAAGAAGAATATTAAAGGTACCATGGACTGCCAGAAAAACAAACAAATCTGTATTGGGAGGCGTACAGCCTGAATGCTCCGTAGAAGCCAGGATGGCAAGACTTCATCTCTTTTACTTTGGACACGATGTCAGGAGCAACCAGTCACAGGATGAATGGGGTTTTAAGAGCCAGATCAATGAATGTGGAGTTTATTTCAGGTGTGACTGAAATCCTTTGAGTGTGTTTAAACAGGAGAGTGTCATGATGTAATGTACAATTTTTAAAGATCTTTCTCCTTATGGAGAAGGGTTGTTGTTGTTAAGTGCCGCTGAGTCAGTTCTTTATAGAATTTCTGAACAATGGCTGGTGGGTTTGAACCATCAACCTTGCGCCTCAAACTGACCTTGCAGTCCATCGCATTATCCTGCAGTGCCACACCAGGACTCCATGGGGTGGGGGGGATGTAGGAAAGCAGGGTGGACAGAGGGAAACCAGGTAGTTGGCTACTGTCATGGTCCCAGCAGGGTACAGTGTTGTAGCCTGAAAGAGAAAGGGACCCGCATGGGATTTATTTTAGGATTGGAGTTCAGAAGATTTAAGGATAGATTGGAGAAAGGGGAAAAGAGGAATCAGAGATAATTCTGGATGTTGAGTTTAGAAATTGGGTGGATAGGTTTTTTAAAACATGGAAGTGTGAGATCAGGCTTGGATTGCATGATGTTGAAAGTTGGCCTTCTTAGGGGGAGATTTACTCTGCTGGGAAAGTGCCTTGACTTCTATAAAACTCTGCCTAGCCATAAAAAGAGTGGTCTAGCTCAACAGCGCACAGCAGTCCCTTCCACCATTAGCATTATCTGAAGAGAGATTGTACTTTTAAGATACTCTATGGAAGAGACAGGTTTGCATGGGCTAAATGGGACAGAGGTAAATAGTAATGTATGCTTAGTCTTGGAATAACCGGGCTCTGTGCTACAGGGATCGAAGCATAGTCTGAAGAGGGGAAATAATTTTAAGATGCTTGACTTTCTTATAAATATTGGTTTCCCTTGCCCACTTTGTAAAATAGACAACTTGAGTGGGATAGAAAGGAATGTTGGGAAACATGATTGCAGAAAGCTTATAAATCCATCTTTAGCCTATAACTGATTGGAATACCTAAAAGGGGTTCTAGAACTTACCAAGTGAAATAGGCTTCTTGCGGAGCCTTTGCAGAGCATAGGACCTTAGGTGGAATCCTGAGCCCCATCCAGAACCGTCTGAGGTGGAACATTCCTACGAGAATGGACAAGTAGACCAGCCTGGAACAGCTAGAGGAACAAAAAATACGTCGTCTAAGAAAGATCAGCAGGGAAAACCCAAAACAAAAATGGCAGTATGATTGGCTACTATAAGACCAAGCAAGTTGCTTGCCAGGGAGCCATCAAGGCTCCCTTCAGGACAAACGCCCCTCTAAGACTGAAACTCAGATGGAACACATGAACAGTCACGTAAGCTTGTTGGCATTCATGGTGGTCTACTGGTGAGTGGAAGAGGGGGAAAGGCAGCTATGAAAAAAGGCAGCTAAGTTGAACCACGTTCCATAGACTTCCATTGACCTGGAGATGAGAGAGAGAAGAGGAAGAGCTGGTTGGTCTGAAGTGTGGTAAGACCTGAGGACACCTGAGCCCATGGGCAAGGACTTAGCCATCGGGGGCTAGAGTTGACAGTGAAGCATCCACCTGGTTTGAAGTGAGGGGAGGCACACAACAATGCCCAAACTTGCAGATGGTACCCATTTAAGTTAGCTTTGATGGCTTGATGATCAGAACTTGACTAGAGGAAGATTAAAAAAAAAAAAAAAAAAAATTTGATGAAGGAAACGAGTGTAAATTGCTACAATTTGATGAACTTGACCTGTACTTATGGCTGTAGTAGCTCAAGGTACCAACTGAGAGGGAAGGAGTCTTCACATCAAGTATCAATCCTGTCCCCTCTGTATACAGGATAGGTAGGGAGGGGCAACTTAGACATTGGCTACCTAAAATGAGTGTGTGATAGAGACATGAACTGACTGGCTTACAAGTTTTCAAAAGGGAGTTTATGAGTGTGTGGGGGAGGGTAGAATCCCCAGAATAGTTTTCATGTCTAGACAGGTCTGGTGAAAAGAGATGGGGATAGGATACTTGTGATTCAGTAGTGAATAATTGTTATCATGACTAATTGTGACTGTCAAAACTTTGCAGAGCATAGTAGAGAGGTTTTGTAACAAAAATGGTAGTATTTAATCTTACAGTCCAGAAGCAGAGGACTTTAGGAACATCAAGGGAAAAACGCACAGGCGGAATATGAGACCCTTTCCAGAGAAGCAGCAACACCACAGATGGAGGCAGAGATGAATACATGGAGAGAGGGATCAGCTGAGGACTCTGGACTCGTGGAAAGAGAGGGGCTGGGTGCTGGAGGCCAGGAGGAAGATTTACAGAATGTGCCCTTTGATTGTTTAAATTATATATTCCTCAATGTTTCTGTGTACAAACCACCCCCACCAAAAAAAAAAAAAGCAGAGGGAATGAAAACAAATACTGTTGAATGATGATGCGTGTAGGAGCTTGTAATCATTGCAATGAAATAGTGGTGTAAAGAGGACATTTTCCCATGTCACCTATCACTCAGTTCACAATAAAAACTTAAAAAAAATAAAAAAAAGAGAGATTCTGTGGAAGTGTAAGAACCGGTTTTATTAAGGATTGAATATAAGGGCAAGTGATCCGTGATGGAGCTAAGATGTGCACTCACTTGCTGGTACTTCTTTGCAAAGAGAACAGGGATCTGTTCCATTTTCCTGAAGCCTTTTGGAATGCCACATAAACTTTTTACTATTCAGGTGGATCCATATGAAAGATGATGACATAATAGTATGCCAGCAGCATTTAATTCAACACATAATTATCAGGTGTGCTTATTAAGTAAAAATTAGTTAGGAATGCTAGTAACTTTTTTTTTTTTTTTTTTCAATAGCAAAAGCAGACGTGTGTTAATTTAAATTCCACATCTATGTATTTGGTGAGTGGAGGTCTAAATAAAACTGTTAATATTTGGGATTTAAAATCAAAGAGAGTTCATCGATCTCTTAAGGTAAGCATCTTGTTTCTTTTTGCTGTTTTTTAATTCCTGTAGAAATGGGTATCTTATGATGTGTTTATAATACTTAACCAAACTTTTCTGGGGCTGTTATGTACAAAATCATAGAAATCTTTATTAAACAAAAATATCCAAATGTAAAGCTATTGTTTCTCAATATAGCCTCTGTCTAGGTGTACACATTTCTGAAGGTGATGTTTCCATCACTTTCCCTGAAGAGTTCAGTATCCTTTGGTTTACACCACATTAAAACACCCATTTTGGCATCTCTGTTAGTTATCTAATGGTACTATAACAAATACCGCAAGTGGATGACTTTAAGAACCAGCAATGTATTTATTCTCTCACCGTTTAGGAGGCTGGAAGTCTGAATTCAGAGCCCTGACTCTGGAGAAAGGGCCCTGTCCCCTTCCAGCTTCTGTAGGCCCAGAAGTTCTTGATTCTTGTCATGTATCTTAGCATCAATTTTCCTCTGGATCTAGGTGCTTCACAGAACTGGGACTCCAGGTCCAAAGGATGCTCTGTGCTTCTCCTTTTTCTATCATGGTGGTAGTAGGTCCTTTATTCTCTGCTCAGCTCTCTCTCCTTTTATCTGTTGTAATATAAAGGCTTGCATGCTATGCCCTTGGGAATTATTTAACCTATCACCCACTTGCTGACTTCCACTCATGGCCAATACTGTTTTTTCTATACTCTTACCAGCTTTCTAAGAATCTCTGGTAGTGTAGTGGTTACGAGTTGGGCTGCTAATCTCCAGGTCAGTAGCTCACAAGAAACTGTTAGCTGTTCCTTGAGAGAAAGATGAGACTTTCTGCTTCCGTAAAGATTTATAGCCTTAGGAATCCTATTCAGGGTTGCTACGAGTCGGAACCAGCTCAATGGCACACAACCACCATCACCACCACCTTCGTTCTAAGGAGCCTTGGTGGTGTAGTGGGTTACCCGTTAGACTGCTAACCAGAAGTTCAGCAGTTAGGATCCGTTAGCCAGTCCTTCGGAGAAGGATGAGGCTTTCTGCTCCTATTAAGATATACAGCCTCAGAAACCCTACACAGGGTCAGTATGAATTGGAATAAATTTGATAGCACATGACCACCACCGCCTGCCTTCTAACACTCTGCCCTCACTCCACCCCCAGATTATTTTAAAGCAAATATCAGATATCATTATCATTTTGTTTTATGTCTTAATGCCATTCATTTGATTCCTATTAAATAAATGATTCATAGAAGAATAATTTTCTCATAGCCAAGTTGAAGTCTAATCCTACCATTGCTATTTAAAATATAAATATAACTTTTGGAAGTTCGTTATTTTAGCAAGGATTTAAAGAATCTTAACTCTAAAATCTCTGCTATGGAATAAATGAATAATTGCAAAGTTAGGAATAATGAGAACCGTTACCATTCACTGAGTTTTTTAATATGGCTGCCACTGTATTTAACATATGTATGTTCTGGTTATCCAACAACTCTGCAAAGCAGATAGCATTATTCCTGTGTACAGATGGGGAACTGAGCCTCAGATAGTAAAGTATTTATTCACTGTCAGGCAAGTTGATGTTAAGTGCCATTGAGTTGGTTCTGACTCATAGTGACCCTGTATAGAGTTTCTGAGGAGTGGCTGCTGGGTGTGAACTACCAGTCATGTGATTAATAGTCCAGTGCTTGTTCCGCAGTGCCACACCAGGACTCTTGTCAAGCAAGTTGTTGTTGTAAAGTGCCATTGAATTGGTTCCGACCTTATATAGGGTTTCAAGAAATGACTGGTGAATTTGAACTGCCAACCTTGTGGTTCAAACTGACCTTGCAGTCTAATGCTTTATCCCACAGTATCACAACAGGGTTCCCCATGAAGTAAGTTGTAAGTGGCAACAATGAAATGCCAACTCAGATTTTATTCGTTGTTTAATATTTAAATTATGAATATCTCAATTAAGACTGTTGTCGAGTGCTGTACCTAAGGATCACTGGTGGTATAGTGGGTTACATGTTGGGCTGTTAACTACAAGGTCAGCAGTTCAAGTCCACTTGCTTCAAGTCCATCTGCAGGAGAAAGGTGAGGCTTTCTCCTCCTGTAAAGACTGGCAAAAATTACAGGGTCAGTGTGAATAGGAACTGACTTGGTGGCACACAGTCAGCCAGCCAGAGTGCTGTACCTAAATACTATTGCCATCGAATCACTTCTGACTCCTAGTGACTCAGAATTTCCTAAGCTGAAAGCTTTACCTGAGCAGACTGCCATAGCTTTCTCCCCCATCGTGGCTGCTGGCTTCAAACCACCGACCTTTCGGTTAGCAGCTGACCACTGAAGCACTGTGCCATCACAGCTGCTCTACGGTTAATTGAAAGGTCGGTGGTTTGAACTCACTCTAAAAGAGGAAGACGTGCCAGTCTGCTAGAGTAAAGATTCCCACCGTGGAAGCCCTGTGGGGCAGCTCTGCTATGTCCTTTGAGTCCCTATGAGTCTGATTTGACTCTACAACAGGTTAAAGGGATAGAACTACTATGAGTAAGGTGCAGCTCACACAACTGAGAAGAGATGGGAAGTCTGAGGCCAGGTTTGTCAAATGTTGTCACAGTTTTTGGAGTATCACATACCCTCCTTTCTCCTTGTTGTTAAATGCCGTCGAATCAATTCTGACCCATAGCGACCCTGTATAGGGTTTCCAAGGAGCAGCTGGTAAGCTTGAACCACTGACCTTGCAGTCTGACGTGTTAACCCACAGCGCCACACCAGAATTCTACTTCCTTGTCATCCTCACCAGATAGAATTTTCTTTCTCTTGGAGTACTTCGTTCCTCCTTTCATTTAGCTGAAAGTATGTAAGTGAGTACTGGTGGCTGCGTACCCTTTGCCCTGCAGTCCTCTGACTAGTGCCTTAGCACTGTTTCTGGTACATCTTCCGTGCTTAGTGTTTACTGAATGACTGACTTTCCACAGTTGAAATAATGAAGACATCTGCCCCTTTACAAGTTTATTGGAATTCTATTTAACCCATAATCTTAATTGCCCAAATGGGAATGATGCTCAGAACATAGTTCATTTGTCTTCTACCCGAACATTTTTTTCCTCAGCAGTTATTTCTTTGATTTAGAAAAGGAATAAAATTCAAAGAAAACTCCAAAAATGCTTGAAGAACCACTTGATAAAGTCAAAATATAAGTAGTATATAATATCAACTATTCTCAATGGCACATAACAACATTGTTGATATTATGTTAATATAATTACTAGATACAAAGCTTAATTTACTTTAAAGATATGGTACCACATTCTTAAAACTATGCGTCTGACCCTGACCATTTTCCATGCTCCTGCGGTTGTTGCTTGTTTTAAATGCTGTCGCGTCAGTTCTAACTCATAGTGACCCTTTCGGATTTGGGAGGCAGCCTGAGATAGCAAGAGGAGCATAGGTTTTGGAGTTTGGCCTGGAATCGAGTCCTGGTGTGGTGCTGTGAGTTAATGAGCTGGACTGCAAACTTGGTTTGTGGTTGGTGGTTCAAGCTCACCAGCCGCTCCTCGAAAACCCTGTACAGGGTCACTATGAGTCAGAATCCATTCGATGGCACTTAACTACTAGTTCTGGTGTGGCACAGAGGGTTAAGGCACTGGATTGCAATGTCAGTTTGAACCACAAGGTTGGTGGTTCAAACTCACCAGCTGCTCCTCGACAATCCTATACAGGAATGCTATATAAGTCAAGAATCCATTCTATGGCACTTAACTACAAGGAGTCCTGGTGTGGTGCTGTGGGTAAATGCATCAGACAGCAAAGCTGTTTGAACTGCACAGTCAGTGGTTCAAGCTCACAAGCTGCTCCTTGGAAACCCTATACAGGATCGGTATGGGTCGGAATCAACTCAACAGCACTTAACAACAACTACTTTACCACTTGGCAGTTATGTGAGCTTGGGCAGGCTTCTTAACCTTTCTGTGCATCCTTTATGTCATCTGTAAAATGGTTACAGTGATCTCACCTCTCAAGGTTGTTCTAAGGATTGAACAATATATAAAGCTCCCAGCTCTAGCAGGTACTCAGCGAATGAAAGCAGCTGCTGTTATCTGTGACAATGCCCTCCTCATTCTGATGCCAGCTTTTGTTTATCACTCTTTCATTTGTTGCTCTTTCTTAGAGGTTGAATTATAGCTTTATGTCTTCTATAAAGCTTCCTCTACCAACCCAGGTCACAATGCTTACCTCCTTCTCTTTCCTCTAACACTTTGTCTTTACCACTCCTCATTTAGCATAACATGATTTCATGTTAATTTAAACCTTTTGTCTCCTCAATTAAACGGTAAAACTCTCAAAGGAGTCCTGGTGTGGCGCTGTAGATAAGCACTGGACCATTTGAGCCACAGGGTCAGTGGTTCAAAGTCATCAGCTCCTCCTTTGAAACCAGAGGCCACTTAGCACCAACACTATCAAGGATAATCAACTTTTTCTACAGGTTACTACTGGTCAGGGGAGTGAATTCTTTAGGTTGACATAATGCCTTTTAGAAAATGACCTTGCCACAGTGTCTTGGAAAACTTTCATAAGTGCTATTGAGTCAGTTGTAAATCATAGCAACCCTGTGTAGGGTTTCTGAGGAGTGCCATTAGGGAGTTTGAACTCCTGACCTTCAGGTTAGCGGTTCAGGCCTTATCCTGCCAGGACTCCTTACTGTTAGCAAAAATAAATCTCAGTTCCCTGAAAAGACTGGGTGGTCATCAGATAATCTTGTTTGAGTAATTTTTTTAGGTTATTTAAAGAAACTTAAATATTAGTTTGTCAGATATATATGGTATTTACAAAAAATTGACAATGTGCTGTTTTTAATTTCTCTTTTTCAGGATCATAAAGATGAAGTAACTTGTGTAACATATAATTGGAATGACTGCTATGTGGCTTCTGGATCTCTGAGTGGGGAAATTATCTTGCACAGTGTAACCACTAATTTATCTAGTACTCCATTTGGACATGGTAGTAAACAGGTACAGTATGGGCTTATTAAAAATAAAATTGATAGTTAACTTTTGAACTTTCTTACATAAGACAATGAACGTATGTTTTGTAAAATTATAAAACTGTCTTATGTTTTTCATTTAGCTTGCTTGAGAAACTTGTGGCTTGCTATGTTTTGATGGTCATGTTTAAAATGTTCACATGACAAGCTGCTTTTCTCTAGGTTGTGGTGCTTACATGAGTTTAATTTATGCCAATGAATACTCACATCCTCCTTAGAATGTAACTGTGTAACAAAATGTAAGTAGTTGTTAATAAGTTAAGCCTAATATGTTAGTCTTGCTATGTCATTACTGTTACAGAAGTGTTGAATAGCTAAAACTGTGTCATCTACAGAGAATACTTATGTTTAAAGAATCTCTGGTGGATATGAGACAATTGAGTCTATTTGGGCGGAAGATTAACTTTGCTTGTTTACTAAAGTATATGATAATGTTCCAGAGCTTATTTTTCAGGTCAGTAAAGGACTGTTTAGGAAAATTTAAGTAAAATTTAATGTCTGTTAAAAATTTGTAGTAAAAACTCTCCAAGTTTCATGTGAATTAGGAGAACAAAAGAGATATGTATTATAAGTGGCATTATGGGAGATAATGGGCAGATTATAACATTTATAGAAGAAGGGGCTTCAAAAAGTTATGTGGAAAAATTAAAAGATAATGGAATTTTCCCATGAACGTTTTGAAGCACCATGTTATAACATATACAACAGTCTTATGGTGATTCAGAACAGAAGTTAGAAAAACATCTGGTTGGGGATAAAATAGGGAAAATTGAAGGAGCTGGGCACGTTCGTTTTTATTACCATAATATAAGCTGGCCAGTAGTTATCATTTATTTCATGGTGATTATATTAGGACTTCTGCTGTGTCATTCTTGGATCAGCACTGGACTGCGAACCACAAGTTCAGCAGTTCAAACCCACCAGATGCTCCTCAGAAACCCTATACTGGGTCTCTATGAGTCAGAACTGATTCTATGGTACTTAGCAACAATAGTGTCTTGTATTAGGAGTAGATGGTGGTGCAAATGGTTAATTCCCTCAATTCCTAACCAAAAGGTTGGAGGTGTGAATCCACACAGAGGCTCCTTGGAAGAAAGCTCTGGTGATTTACTTCCAAATTATGAGCCATTGAAACCTTTGGAGCATAGTTCTACTCTGATACATGTGGAGTCAACATGGGCTGGAAATAACTCCACAGCAGTGGTTTTAAACCAACCGACCAACCAACCAAACGAAAACCTTGTGTTAGTGTTAACTGTTTACATGTCCGTGGTATAGTTAGAACCATGATTTGTTTCTTTGTTTTTAGCCTGTTGCCCAGCTTAGTACTTTACATGGAATAGATGCCCCATAAATATGTGAGTGGATGAATATATGAATGGATAAATATGTGAATAGATGCCCCGTAAATATGTGAATGGATGAATATGTGAATGGATAAATATGTGAATAGATGCCCCATAAATATATGAGTGGATGAATATATGAATGGATAAATATGTGAATAGATGCCCCATAAATATGTGAGTGGATGAAAGCATTTCGAGATGACAAAGATTTTGATAGGCTAATGTAGAAATTTGGAAGAGGGTATTTTATATGGAGGAAATCACATGAACAAAAGCAAGAGAAAGCGAAATGCCTGGGTTTTCTCTAGGGACCAGTGTGAGCACAGTGCTGTAGGACTTGAATGGCGAACTAAAGGTTGGATTTAATTTAGAAGGCATTTAGGGAACTAATCAGAGTATTTGATTTGTTGAATGTCAGAACCGTAGATTTCTTGAACTGTAATAAAACTTTGAAAAGTTATTCTTTATGTTATCAATGTTGATAAGTGATTTGCCACAGAGATGAGCTTTATAATGTATTAGTGTTGTCATAAAATCAGAAAATTTTTTGTGCTTTTTTGGTTTCTATTTGTATTTTGATAATGGAGACATTAAGTCTGAGCCTACAGACCTTTGGACTATTGTGAAAAACTTTATATCTGATGCTTAAGTATCTAGCCTTTTAACGAAAATGTCAGTTTTGGGGGAGTACTGTGGTTACATAGGATCAGCACTGGACTGTGAACCACAATGTTGGTGGTTACAGCCCACAAGCCACTTTTTGGGAGAAAGGTGAGACTTCCTGTTCCCGCAAAAGATTTAAAGCCTTGGAAAGCCTATACAGTGTCGCTGTGAGTCAAAACGGACTCCAAGGCGCTGAACAACGATAACATAGAAGTACAGGAGTGCTTATGGTGCTGTAGGCTAGGCCCTGTATTGTTAACGACAACGTCGGCAGTTGAAACCTACCAGCTGCTCAGTGAGAGAAAGATGAGGCTTTTTGCTCCCACAAAAGATTTACAGTCTCAGAAACCCTGCACAGGGCTAATATGAATCAAAACTGACTTGATGACATAACAACAAGATTAAAAATATAAATTCTCAACTAACTTTTCAGTAGCATGAAAATTAGGTCGGATATTATCATGTATAGTTGTGAGTTTCAATTTTTATTATATTTTGGCAGAGTTTTCTAATTAAAATCAGACATGAAAGGATATCCCGAAAATGCTAGATTTGGTCATAGGTCTAGACCTAATTAGGTGTAAGAGATTTAATTTTTTTTTTTTAAGTGAAGTTGTTGTTAAGTGCAGTCAAGTTGGTTCAGCCTCATAACAACCTGGTGTATAAAGTATCTGAGGCTGTAAATCTTCATGGAATCAGAAAACCTCATTTCTCGCCTATGGAGGGGCTGGTAATTTTCTATAGCAGATTGATAGCTATATTGCTGATTTTCAGAGGATTTTCATGGATTATTTTGTGTGAAATAACTGGGTGGCACAAATTGCTAAGCACTTGACTATTAGCCAAAAGGTTAATAATTCAGACTCAGATACCCCAGAAGAAAGGCCTGGCAGTCTGCTTACAGAAAATCGTGACGCCCAACGTCAGGTCAAACAGAAACTATGATTTTCATGCATATGCTGCCTTCTGCTTAAGCAGTCTGCAACGCTCTAGGGTCTTTTGGTATAGCTTTATGTGATAAGCTCTGTATTTATTTGTGGAGCACTAGGGGTAAAGAGGCCTTGTGCAGCAGATTTGCGTAATGCAATATGCCATTTAATTTCCTGACTGCTACTTCTTATAGTGGATCCAAGCAAAATGAAGTGTTTGATAGCTTCAGTCTTTTCTCCATCTATCATGTTGTTATTTGTTGGTCCAGTGGTGAGGATTTTTGTTTCGTCTTTTTGCTTTCAGCAAGCAAGCTTGTATCATCTGCATATTGCAGGTCGTTAATGAGTCTTCCTCCAATCCTGATGCCTTATTTTTCTTCATATAATCCAGCTTCTTGGATTATCTACTCAGCATACAGACTGAATAAGTGTGGTGAAAGAATACAACCCTGGCATACAGCTTTCCTGATTTTAAACCACTCAATGTCCGCGGGAGAAAGATGAGGCTTTCTGCTCCCGTAAAGATTTACAGGCTCGGAAACCCTGTTCAGGGTCACTATGGGTTGGAACCGACTTGATGGTACTTAACAACAACAACAACAACAATGTCCCTTTATTCTGTTGTAACAACTGCCTCTTGGTCTTAGGTACAGGTTCCTCATGAGCACAATTAAGTGTTCTGAAATATACCCTCTCCACAGTGTTACACATAATTTTTCAAGATCCACATTATAGAAAGCCTTTGCATAGTTACTGCACTCAATTCCTAACCACAAAGTTGGAGGTTTGAATCCACCTAGAGGCATCTTGGAAGAAAGTTCTGGTAATTTGCTTCCAAATTATATAACAAAAAACCGTATGGAGCCTAATTCTACTCTGACATATGTGTAGTCAGCGTAGATTAGAATGAACTCCACAGCAGTGGTTTTTTTTTTTTTTTTTTTTTAATTTTTTAAAACTTATGTTAGTGTTAACTATTTGCATGTCCACATTATAGTTGGAACCCTGTTTTGTTTATTTGTCTTTAGTCTGTTGACCAGCTTAATACTTTACATGGAGTTGTTGTTGTTAAGTGCCGTTGAGTCGGTTCTAAATCATAGCGACCCTGATAGGGTTTCCAAGGAGCAGCTGGTGTGTTTGAACCGCCAACTTGTAGTCGAGTACTTATCCTACTGTTCCACACCAGGACTCCATTACGTGGAATAGATGTCTCATAAATATGTAAATGGATGAAAGCATTTGAAGATGGCAAAGATTTTAATAGACTAATGTGGAAATTTAAGGAGCTCTGGTAGTGTAGTGGTTATGAATGCGGCTGCTAACCTCAAGGTTGGCAGTTGGAAACTACCAGCTATTCCACGGGAGAAAGATGAGGCTTTCTGCTCCCATAAAGATTTGTAACCTCGGAAACCCTGTGAAGAGTCACTATGAGTAAGAACCGACTCCCCAGTACTTAACAACAACAACAATGTGGCAATTTGGAAGAGTGTGTTTTATATGGAGGAAATCACATGAACAAAAGCCAGAAGAAAGAAAAGTGCCTGGGTTTTCTTTAGGGACCAGTGTGAGAGTTGCTGTAGGACTTTGAAAGGCAAACTAAAGGTTGGACTTCCGATTTGGAAGGCATTTAGGGAACTGAAACACAGGGGAAGATCTTTAATGGTGCTCTTTTCTGTCAGCAAGATCCACCTGAGGTCAGCACTTACCTTTCCTTCCTCGTTTTTGTCTGAATCGGTTTAAACCATTGGCAGCTCCTTGTCAATGTACTTTTGCAGCCTTTTTAAAATTAACTTTGGCAAAATTTTACTTCCATGTGACATGAATGATACTGTCCAGGGATGTCATCATTCTGTTGGGTCACCTTTCTTTGGAATAGGCACAGATAGGGATCTCTTCCAATCAGTTGGCCAGGTAGCTGTCTTCCAGATTTCATTTTTTTTTTTTTTTTTTGATAACACTTTGGGACGTTGTATTCTGGTGGTGGTGGTTATGTGCAAAGGAGTCGGTTCCAACTCATAGCAACTCTC